TATTCTGAATCTCAAGGGATCTCAGATCCTATATACATCCTACTTTGCTAGCATTTTATTCTAGCATTCGCACTGTATTCCCTACTCTAATGTCCTAGCCAATTCTATATTTTCTTTAAAGTTGCATTTTGAATATTGCCAATGCTTCATCAATTTTGGGTCTCTTCAGGACAAGAGACAGATGTATTGAAGTAAAAGCAAGATTAATTGTCCAGGTATCCAGTGAACCATCAAAGAAGGGCAAATGGGCTTCAGAGTGATTGGAACTACAAAGCTGGTAGGATCAACTGCCTTCTCTTAGGGTTTTTATAAACTTCTTTTCTTGTGGTTTCTTCTTGTCTTCAGGCATCTGATCTATTTACTTCTTGAATTGAAGGATTCAGGTTCAAATCCTACATGTTTCTTAATGGCTGTCTTATTCCTTAGTATGTATTTTCAGTTCAACTCTTCTTGGGTTAAATACTCTAAGGTGGGTTAATTGGCTTAGCTTGTCTTTTCCAGCAGGCTCTTAGCCACTTGTCATTATTATGGACCATCTTCTAATCTTGGCAGCAATAAGCAAGGGAAAAGTCAAAAGACAAGAACAAAATGTGCCCACCTTCCCGGGGCTCAGTAAAATAGTATGCACTGTATTATTTATTTATTTATTTTGTAAATGGTACTAGGGATTGAACCCAGGGGCACTTTACTATTGAGTTGCATTCCCAGCCCTTTTAATTTTTTATTTTGAGACAGGGGCTAACTAACTTGCCAAGGCTGGCCTGAAGCTTGTAATCCTCCGGCCTGTCATGCTTCCTGGTATTTGGAATTACAGGTGTGTGCCACCATGCCTGGCTTTTGGGAGCTTTTTGGAGCACATTTATGTCCTCACTTACAGAATTATAGTTTGAAAGTTGAAAGGGAACTTTCCCTTTCATTTATAGAGAGATTGTGATTTGCTCATTGTTATAGTTGGTGTTAGCACCTCTAAATTCTTAGGAATGTATTCTTACTATCATATTAAAGGTATAAGTTTAATTACAACTTAATAATACAATCATGTTATATGAGCAAAATATTTAAAAACACTGGTAGAGCCATCTCCCTCAAAACATTAACACTTAGGTTAATTGGTTTTCTGGAAATTTCTTATATATATAAAGTATTATGAAGTTGTAAGAAATATTACATATTACAATTTGTATAATATACTTTTAAAAACTCTTTCAAATGTAAAATGTGTTAAGAACAATTTAGAAGCAATGTTTGGTCACAAAATATTATAAATTTAATATCATCAAAAAAGTCATTATTTCTTTGAAAGTAGTCATTTTAAAAAGTGGTATTTTGCTTTATTGTTTTTTATGAAGCAAATTGTTATATACTCCAACCTTGAGAGAATGAATTTGAGGCCAAAAGGTAACTTCAAGATTTTACATGCCCACAATCCCTGAGGCTGGTGTTTTTACCCATATTATTATGATTTTCTTTTATTTTGTGATTTTCTTTAGAAGTTTTTGATCATTAGTACTTTGGGAATGTTTACTTATTTATTTATTTTTTCCTGTACTGGGGATTGAACCCAGTGGCACTTTACCACTGAGCCACATCCCTCAGCCTTTTATTTTTTCTTTTGAGACAGGGTCTTGCTGAGTTGCTAAAGCTGACCTTGAACTTGTGATCCTCCTGCCTCGGCCTCCCAAGTTGCTGGAATTACATGTGTATACCCCCATGCTCAGAAAAATGGTTTGTTTTTAATGCTAGCATATAAAATAGTTATTTATAAGAGATAAGTTCTGGTTTCTGTTGTTAGACCTACCTTTTAATAGAGTGCATGCAAGATGGAGACAGAACAGGTTTTGTGATGGTTAATTAGAATGAATTATTTAATTATTGCATATTTTCCTTTTCAAGGTTTCATTTTCCTTTTAGATTTACTCATCAGTAGACATTTTTCTTTGTGCAGCAGTATAGAAGTAGTCTTATGGTAAGTAACTTAGTATTTAGACATTTGTCATAGTTCTGTTAGCAAATTATCAAAATCAGCTAGTTTTTGACTAATATTAAATTATCTTTTGAAATTTAAAATTTTAACTAAAGAAAGCTTTTTTGAAAAAAAAAGAAAGTTTTTTTTTGAGGGGGGCTCAAGGGCCTTGTCCATGCTAAACACATGTGCTACCTCTGAGCTATACCTCTAGCCCAAGAAATTATTATTATTATTTTTAAGATAGTTGCTTTTTGGTAGTTATTAGAGAGAAATAAAAATAACATTTTACCTTATACTATTTAATCACAAACAAGATATTTTCTCATTTTATTCTATCTTCTTTCTAACCATCTATTTTTGTTTTCATATATTTGTATTCAAGTTTTGTCTTCTGTTTTGTTCAAAAACACCACAGGTAGCTTTACTTTTTTCTACTGCTCTTTGTAAGTAGTATTAATTTTACATTTCCTGATGTCAGTTATTTCTAAAACAAATGTTCCCTTTGGTTACCACACAATGATTATTAGATAATTTCTAACACTCATCATTGACCTAGGGTAATTTTTTTTCCTCTTTATACACAGTATTAAGTTCTTTTTTTGTTTTTGATTTTGCTCACTCAGTACTCTTTTTTAAACTTTTTTTTTAGTTGTAGATGGATACAATACCTTTATTTTATTGATTTATTTTAATGTGGTGCTGAAGATCAAACTCCATGTGTCATACATGCTAGGCAAGTAGTCTACCACTGAGTCATAACCACAGCCCTCACTCAGTACTCTTGAGTGGACGTTAGGTGTTGCAATGACTAAATTGTGTCAGTAAAATGTGTTCTCACTCTTGTGGCAAGAAGAGCAGCTTCTTCAAATGTTGCCCCCTTGCTGCTTTTCTAACTGTAGAGTGAAGTTACAGTGAATGGCAGGAGGTTTATTTATTTTGGGAGTGGTAGTGGTGTGTATTAGTTGACAGAATAAGTATTTTCTTTAAATATAGAAACTTGTAGAAGAGACAAGTAGACCAATAGCATGAATACTCAGTTTATAGAGATGAAACACAAGTGGCTGATACATATGTGAAAAGATGCTTAACTTTCCTTCTAATAAAAATACAAAGTAAGGGCTGGGGATATAGTTCAGTTGGTAGAGTGCTTGCCTCACATGCACAAGGCCCTAGCTTCAATCCCCAGCACCACAAAAAAAAAAAAAAAAAAAAAAAAAAAAGTAAAACAACAGGGCCTTGCCAGGTTTTGTTGGATAAGAAAGAGTGAAATATTTGGTTATGATCAGTGAGAAGTTGGGAAAAATTTTATATGATTAATGGGTGTAATCATTTTGGAGGGCAGTTTGCATTAGCAATTAATTTTTTTTTTTTTTTTTGGTACCATGGATTGAACTCAGTGACACTCAACCACTGAGCCACATCCCCAGCCCGATTTTTTATATTTTATTTAGAGATAGGGTCGCACTGAGTTGCTAAGTACCTCACCTTTGCTGAAGCTGGCTTTGAACTTGTGATCCTTCTGACTCAGCCTCCTGAGCTGCTGGGTTTACAGGCTTGCGCTACTGCGCCCAGCTAGCAATTAATCTTAGTTACTGACCCAGAAAACTATATTTTAGAATTTATTCTGAGGATACTTGGACACATCTGCATAAAATCATACATGGATGCTTATCGAAGCATTGTTTGCAGTAGTAAAAGATGGGAAAGTCACAAAATAGAATAGTATGCAATTGTTAAGGAGAGTGAAGTAATTTCTGTGCTGATATGCAAATTTATTCAAGGTGAGTTGTTATTAAATGGAAAAACATTGCAGAATTTTATATGATTCCATTTATGTTAAAACATAAATGGATAAATCTGTACCTACTGAATATTTTAGCAAGTCTCCATCGGTAACTCTAAAGGTAACAAGTGATTATACCTTGGAGTGAGGAAGGATGATGGTCAAGGGTAAGAGGGTGACTTTAATTTTTCTATTTAGTTTTTAAATTTAGTATTTGTTATTTTCTTGATAAAAAAGAAAATCTTACTATTGAAAACATTAAAATTAAACATTTTGGATCACTTCTTTATTTTGTAGATGACTTTAAGGAAAATTGTTTGTCCTTTTTAGAAATTAATTTCTAATTCTGAGAGTGTCATAAGGGGTTAGGATTTTAAATAAGTAACTAAAATGAAGAGAGGGAAAGAATGTTTTCTTGGGATTTTTTTTTTTTTTTTTTTTTTGAGACAGGATCTTTCTGTGTTGCTGTGTTATCGTCCTCGAACTCTTAGGCTCAAGTGATTTTCCCTCCTCAGCCTCCTGAGTAGGTGGGACTTCAGGCCTTTGTGCCTGGCCTCTCGGGAAACTTTAGTCAATCTGTGCTTTACCTTCCTGATGGAAATATTTTTCCACAGATCAACATTGGCCTTCCTAAGACTACTTTCAGAAGAGAATTCTGTACAACCAAGTGACATAACAGCCCTCTTTCTCTTTAGTCTTTCGTTCGTTTCTAGAGCACTTTGTCATAGTCACATAATGATGAAATTATCTAACAACATGTTTTTCAGAATGTGTCCCGGTTGAGTGGCACAGGACTATATTTGTACTCTGTATTTCCATAGGGAAGGTCATGTTGGTATAAGATTTTAAATAGTTTTTATTTCTTTACTGGACACTTTTAATTTATCTGAGATACAAAGAATATCTGAGAAATCAGAGCAGTGTTTGTGGGATTAGATTGTTTTCCTTTCTAAAAATAAGTCAAGACAAATATATAAAAACTAAAGTTAGGGAAGACTGAATGAGTCACATGCACTTAATCATTCTTCACAATGACATTAAACTCTCTAGAGAAGCTAGCAGTATCTTTATTATGGTAATTTAGCATGTCATTTCAGAGAATTTTATAACTTCAGAAGATGATATTTAACTTTTTTCATAAAGTATTGAAAATATTTTATTAAGGTAAAAGAAGAAGCTCACTTTTTTTTGTTTTAAGTCTCAACTATTGGCAAGGCTGTTCTGATGAAATTTTGGATATCACAACTAAAAACATCAAAAGGAACCTTGGTAAGGCCACTCCATTTTTGTGCCCTTCCTTACAAAACCCCAGATTCCTATCGGGTGTATTATAAACAGAGGAACCAATCTTCAGTCCCCTGCTCTGAGCAACTCTATGTGGACTATTTTACGTCTCTTTGATATACAATGTAGGGAAAAGATGTAAGAATTTATAAGGGCCTGAGTCTGAGTCTACTTACCGTATTATCTTGGGCAAATTAATGCTTCTTTATACAGTGATAAAATCTACTTTCCTATTATGCTAAGTGAAGCTAGCCAATCCCTAAAAAACAAATGCCAAATGTCTTCTTTGATATAAGGAGAGTAACTAAGAACAGAGTAGGGTCGAAGAGCATGAGAAGAAGATTAACATTAAACAGGGATGAGAGGTGGGAGGGAAAGGGAGAGAGAAGGGAAAATGCATGGAAATGGAAGGAGACCCTCAGAGTTATACAAAAGTACATACAAGAGGAAGTGAGGGGAAGGGGAAAAATAATATAAGGGGGACAAACGAATGTCAGTAGAGGGAGCAGAGAGAGAAGAGGGGAGGGGAGGGGAGGGGAGGGGAGGGGGGATAGTAGAGGATAGGAAAGGCAGCAGAATACAACAGACACTAGTATGGCAATATGTAAATCAATGGATGTGTAACTGATGTGATTCTGCAATCTGTATATGGGGTAAAAATGGGAGCTCATAACCCACTTGAATCAAATTGTGAAATATGATATATCAAGAACTATGTAATGTTTTGAACAGCCAACAATAAAAAATTAAAAAAAAAATCTACTTTCCTGGTTTCTAGCAAAGATTAAAGAGGGAGTGATGTAATCTTTATTGAGTATCTCTTTTGTCTTTTGGTAATATTTTGTCTATATCTGCCATGGCAGTTTGTCATTTAGTTGAGATTGGTGACTCACCTGTCATCTCCCCATTAAATTAATGGGGGCCCATATTTTGTGGCTTTGTATTCCTAGTTCCTAGCCTAGGTGCATTGTTCTGTTTCTTAAATGAATGATGGATGTTTAGCACTATGCAAATAGATTTTCTACTTTAATTTTCAGTTTTCCTAAGAGGTAGATAATATTTCTTGAATTTTATCATGGAGAAATACTCAGAGAGCTTAAATAACTTGCTTAAGATCACACATTATGGCAGAACTAAAATTGAAAACTCTTATGTATGATTTCAAACTATGCTTTTGTATCATTCTGCTTTGCTGATGTAGTATTAGGCACTTCAGAAATTGTGATATGTTCAATATAAGATTTTTTTTTTTGCTATTTAGTAATATAATTTTAAAGATTAGCATGGTGACACAAACATTTCTTCTCTTTATACTTAATATTCCCTTTCAGTTTAGACTTCCTGACTGCATGGTACAGTAAGTCTGCCTTGTCTATAATAATACAAATAGTCACTTCTTCTTGTGAGGGATTTTCTTCTTATTAATTTTGCTTAAAATTCTGTCTTTGCTTTTCCTTTAGAGAATTTTTTTTGATATTTATAAGTACATGGGTTGAGGATGATTTATACTAATTACATCAGAATTTTGGTAACATTGGAAGTTTTAGTAATCAGAAGAAGTAGTTTGTCTCCTATCTGCTTCTTATATTCATTTTTCTTTTTCATTAGCAGTCATAATAGATGCTATGGGCATAGGTCACTGATTTAGATGTCATCACATGTTAGCACTGCCTTTTGGACCTCTTTTATAGGATATGAACACATTACTTAAGGGCATGGAAATAGGGAGAAAGATACCACCTCATAAATTTTATATTTATGTTGTTTTTATTGAGGATTTTTCATTTGAGAATCAGGTTGTTTTGGATATTTCATCATAAATAAAGTTTGAAAGAAAAAGAAAAGTTTACCCCCATCTGTCCCTTATTACCATTATAAAATTCACAAAATTGCAAAACAGATACCAATAATTGTGGCAATAGAATAAATATGTGGTTTTTGTCATTACAGTTACATTGAATGAGGACTTCTTGTTTTGGGCACTTGGGACTGACCTGAAGGGTACTTAACCCCTAAGCCACATCTCCAGTTCTTTTTATTTTTTATTCTGAGACAATGTTTCCCTAAGTTGCTGAGGCTGGCTTCGAATTTGTGATTCTCCTGCCTTAGCCTCCTGAGTTGCTGGGATTATAGGCATGTGCCACCATCCCAGGATGAACAGTTTTTAGTAGCTCTGTGTTATAGTTTATTTTTCAGACTATAGAGTTATTCTTACTCAATATTTTATATAAATCATCTTATTTTTAAATTTATTTAGTTTTTTTTTTTTAACCACTTTGGGTTGGATTCTCTTCTCCCTATACCTGGTTGGGGGTGAGGGATAGAGGCAGGCTACATCTTGGATTCGCTTGAGCAACTGATGACTTTAGTTTTTGCCTCACTGCATGTAATCCTGCCTTGGGTGTTCATCTCTGTTTAACTAGCTCTTTAAGCCATCTGGAATTGTGTTAGAAAGTGCATGTCTGATTTCTCTCTTGATTTTTCTTAAGGCTGGTTTGAATCCTGGGTATACAGTTGTAATTTTCAGTACTTTTAATATTTTCAGGTGGAGGTTTTATTCTTTAGGGTTTACAGAGATGCGCTTTGGAAAGAAACTAAACAGAATGATTTGTGACCTGCAGGGACAAAGACTGCAGTAAAACTGGAAGAACTCATTTCCTGTTAGTAGCAGTTTTTGAATGATAATGCTTGGAGTTCCATCAATTTATTTTTTGATGTGACTTAATATTCTTAGTTGTCAATTGATACTCTTATATTAACTATTTCATAAAATGTGTCAATGTGTATATTAAAATGGCAACAAAATCTAAGATCAAATATAATAATAATTAAAAAGTTATATATGTCTTACATATCATACATTTTCTTTTTAGGCATATGGATCAGGCTGTGATATTGTCATTTTGGCAAGTGACTTCGAATGTGTGCAGATCATTCCTGGTGCTAAGCATGGAAACATTCAAGTCAGCTGTGTGGAGTGTTCTAACCAACAAGGAAGAGTAAGGGATTTAATTACTTAATTTGTCATTTTTAATGTATTTAATAATGTTAGAATATTCTTATGCTTTTATGTAAGGCTTTTCTATGATTTTTATTTATATTTCTGTGTGAATGGCTATTGATTGGAGTTGTAACGGGAAAAGTTGTGTACAACTTGTAAAGTGCTCTTAAACTGACAATGTCGTAATTATTTGTTCTACAGGTATCTACTGTTTTGAAAGATCTATAGCTCTCACAATCTCATACATACTCCTTTTCTGGCAGTAGATAATTCCAGCAGCCATTAAGTTAATAGAAGGGAAGTAGTAGGCTTTTATCTTCTCTATTTAACATTCCTTATGTGATTAAACCTGAACTTAAGTCCTTTGAAGACGACTGTTCAATTCTTTTCCCTCCAGGTACAGTGGATGACTTCGTGATATCTCCTTAGTTAATTTCTCCTTCTCGATGGTTTCCTAATTAGCATTTATGTTTGATGATACAATTAATGCCATTTTATTTGATACATTCTTAAGACCTGATGATGTCTTTCTCTACTTTTCATGGTTTTTATATTATTTTTTACTGGATTATACAATTTCTGATAAAGAGATGTACCATTGAAATGTATTTTTGTCATTGAAGTTATTTCTATATTAAAAATTAAATAATTATTTTGGAGAAGATGATTTCTTTAAGTAGGTGAGCTTTGTATTTGTTACATAAAGCCTGTTGAATTTGTTGATAACCCAGAAAATAATCTTAAGTCTGGTACACTTCCAGGTATGTCCGTGGAAGGAAATAAACCACGAATGCTGCATTCAGATTATATTGTATGTAATTAGTTTTTTGAAAAGAAGATGGTCTTTATTTTACTTTTTCCTAAATATTAATGTTATGTTCATTCTTTTTTTAGATTGCAGCTTCATATGGTAATGCTGTTTGTATTTTTGAGCCTCTGGGCACAAATTCTCATAAGAGAAATTGTGTAAGTACTAATTGATAGTAGAATACCTTAGAATCTAGTTAACTTTACTTTTTTATTGAAAAACTTTTACTTTTAATCGTTCTAGTTAACTTTAGAATCTAGTTGGTAGAAATAAAGAGTTAAGAGCTGGTGCTGAAAGTGGGCTAGAATATCGGTGTAAAGTTGATAAGGGTATTTTAGAAACCCACATTTGTAGAGTATTGCTAATTGTCACTTCTTATGTTGAGATTTATGCTAGTCTGAACTATTCTAATTTCTTACCATCTCTATCTGATGTCTGGTTCCCTATTAATTCTTCTTTTCCTCTTCCCATCTTTATTCTCAACAGAGCAGGTTACGATACTTCTTTTATTTAAATTCTATAATTACTCCATATATCTCTCAAATTAAAAACCCAGAAGCCTTAAAATAGATTATTATTTTTTAAAAAATATGTTTTAGTTGTCAATGGATTTGTATTGTATTGTATTTATTTATTTACATGTGGTGCTGAGAATCGAACCCAGTTCCTCACACATGCTAGGCAAGCGTTCTACCATTTAGCTACAACCCAGCCCTTAAAATAGATTATAACCTCCTTTTTCACAGTGCCACATTTAATTACCTCTCAGCTCATCTCCTACTGTTCTTATTCTCCCTGATTCCACTCCAGTTGCACTGGTAAATTTTTACTGTTCCTCAATTACCCTCCCATTTTAGGGCTTTTGCATTGGCTATTTTGGGAATGTTTTTCCTCCATATAGCTCCAGGGCTAGCTTCTGCATATTTTTTTATAGATTTTTGTTGAAAAATACTTTTTCAGTGAGGCCTACCTTGACCACAATTTTATAAAAATTACAACTGACTTCTTCTCTTCCTATCTATTTTAAACTTTTTTCCATAACACTTATCTTGTGTGTTTGATGCATCCATATGGAATAGGGAACATTATTTCTTTTGTTCATTGATTCATTCTAAATACTTGGTACTTGTAAATATTTGTTTATTGAAGTCAGAGGCTTTGATAAGTTCACTACCAGCTTTGTGATCTAGTACACCACATTGAGAAACATTCACATTTATACTGAGTACTGAATTTTATTTACTATTCAGAAAATTTTACATTCATTTAACCATTCATTCTG